ACTGGGTCCTGAGTGGGGCGCCGGAAGGAGGCGCGGACATGGGGGGGTGAGTCCAAGAAGTGCATGGTGACAGAATCGTCAGGACGTGAGAGCTGGTCAGCAGCAACTGGGTGAGGAGTCCAAGGTCAGTGCCGACGACCTGCGACCTCGTAAGGAGCTTGGGGAAGAGCCTCAGCTACGTCGTGTTTGGTGGTGAGACCGGAAGCTCTCCCTGCGATGGGAAAAAGGCTACATTTTCCATTAAATGCGGTGCTGTGGTTCTCACCTGCACCATTGTCAGGGGGAAGAAATAAATGGCACTTGGCCTGGAAAGGGGCAAGTGAAATGACCTCTATCGCGGATGACATCATCTTGCACATAGAGAACCCTCAGGGACCCACAACAAACCCGCAGGACCAACAAGACTGCAGGTCCAACAAGACTGCAGGGTGTGAGAGCAGTGACAGAAATCGTGGTATTTTTATGCTATAGCAATAAACAATCCAAGACTGAAATGAAAACTACTCTATTGTAATAGCATAAAAAAATTAAAACACTTAGGAATAAATTTAACAAAAATTCAACACTTGTACACTGAAAACCATAAACTATTATTGAAAAAATTTAAAGACGATCTACAGAAATGGAGAACTTTCTCACTTGCGTGGACTGGAAGACTGTTCAAGGTGACAACACTCCCCAGATTGACTTACGGATTCAGTTCAGTCTCTGACATCTCAGCTGCCCTTTGGTAGAAACTCACAAGCTGTTATATTCATATGGAAATTCAAGGACCCAAAACAGCCAAAACCAACTTGAAAAAAAAGGTAAAAGTGAGAGGGATCACACTACCCGATTTCAAAACTTACTACAAAGCTCCTGTGGAGTTCCCAGAGTGACGTCTCCAAACTGGCGGCGCAGGCGGCCCCAGGCTCCACCCCCCGACAGACCAGCAGTTAGACAGCTGCCCGCGAACAGAAGCCGACCTGGGGGAGCCTGGGAGCTCGTGCAGGGAGCGGCAGCAGCACGGCGGGCTGGGACGGGAAGCTCGCACGAGCAGCGAGACAGCTTCCTGTGGCCTCCCTCGCGCCCTCCCTCAGGCTGGCAGTGCCCAGTGACGGGTGGGCTTCCCAGCGGGCACAGTGTCCACTGCAGGGACAGAATCCACCACGCCTGCTGGGACGGGAGGAGCAGAGGGGCGACCCTCAGCGCTCAGGGCCCCCGCACAGAGGTCCCAGGGGCTGGTAGAGCTGAGGTGTTAGTGACATTGTTCATAGCAGCCCCAGAATGAAAACATCCCACGGATCCTTCCGTCAGCATTTTAGGGGGGTGGATAAACAGTGTTGCCAATCCACCCAGTGGAATGTTATTCAGCCATAAAAGGAAACCCAGTACTGACTTAGGGTACGATATAAATGACCTTTATCTAAGGGAAAGAAAGACCACCTACTGTGTGATTCCACGTACCTGAGACACCCAGAGCAGGAAGATCCGCAGACACCAGAGGTAGATCGGTGGTCGTGGGGGGCTGGGGGAGGCAGGCGTGCAGGCTGACTGTGAGTGGGTGAGAGCGCTCTCCCGGCTGGTGACAGGGTGCCGGCATCATGGACAGCGGTGACGGTCGCAGGACTTGGTGGATGCACCAGGAGCCGCTGGGTCGTGCGCTTTCAGAGAGTGGGCCCTGTGGCGTGGGAGTGGCGTCGGACGTTTTTAGAAGAGGACACGGTGCCTGGGAGCGGGAGGGCGTGCGGGGCCCCGCGCTGGGCCGTTTCCGTGACGGGGGAGGCCGAGCTGCTGGCTGTGCCAGGCGGACACCGGCTCCCCTGCCGAGAGCGCCCACGCTGCCCGCCCCCCGTGCGGTCAGCTCTGACTCGGTCACCTCGGGTCGGAGGGAAACCCAGGTCCAGCCGTGCAGGGCAGCCTCGCGCAGCCGTCCCTCACGGCCGACCCTCTTAAAGATGCCGCCTTCGACTCCCACGCTTAGGAGATGCGGGAACAAGACGGCCAGCATAGCGCTCCTGTTGTTGCCGCTTTGCAAAAGAATGCGGGTTGACATTTCTTCATATGGAGAGTCACACTGATACTTAGGTGCTGCGTTTTGTAGTGACGACAAATTTCAACTAATGCTGTTACGTTTGACATTCTGTTTGAATTGCGGGAACGTGTCCCGTTTGGCGTAGTCCAGGTTCCCCATATGGTCCAACGATAACTGGAGCACTTTCTCTCCCTCTCTCTCTCTCCCCCTCTCTCCCCCCGCCCTCTCGTAAGAAACCACTAAAGGCTGTTGCTCCAGGAATCTTGGACACTGTTCAGACAAGGCAATCAGGGAGGATTGAAGACCTGTTGACAGAGAGCAGGCAGCCCTAGTAATTTCGGTGGATCAGTCACGTATTTTACTTCCGTCAGTCGCCCCATACGGAACGCAAGCAGTGACATGCCCCGCCGGTGACACCCTCCCCCGGGCCCTGGGCTGCACTTTGTTGGAAGAGGCCATTCGCTTGTGAGTGGCCGGTGCCCCCCGCAGCGGTCCGGGAGGGCGGGTCCGGGCCCTTCCCGGAGGTGGAGGCGGAGGAGTTCCTACGGTCTCCGTTCACGCAGTTCTCTCCCCAGGAGCGTGGCTGCGACCAGACGGCCTTCTGGTGGCACGGGGTGACTTTTCTGCGACTCGGGCTACACAAGTGAAAGTCAACAGAATGTACTTCTCAGTGACCCGGAGGGACCCTGTGCCGCACAGATCAGAAAATGAGTTTGAGAGTGGCGCTTGTTCAGACCAGTGAGGCAGTGTGAACGCTGGACGCCGTCCGGTGGGGGTCGGAAGGTGAGACCAGTGGAAAGGAGAGGTCACTGTGCAGGCACCAGCTTTCACAGAGAACGCGACTGTTAGGGTCCGCATTCTCCCGTGTCACCAGTCAGTGTGCCGTGGCCTCATTCGGTGGGACGTTCTTAAAAGCAACGGTTGTATCCTAGTTTCGTTGTGTCACCTCGGAAACTCAGGTGTGTGGGTACAGTCAGCAGGTAGTCGGTCATGTTTTTCCCACATGCTGGCGTCTTTACGGCGTTAGTGATCATTGAAACAAGTCAAGTGTGGAAAGAGAATTTGAATTTCCAGATGTCAGTTGTGTCTCAGTTATAGCAATTTGATTCTGATGTTTCTACCCTGTTTATCGTCCTTTCGTGAATATGTGTTGAGCGCGCTGTTGTAGGCGCCAGACAGGTGCGTGTTGCGTCCCGGCCTCTGTAAGAGAGGGAGGGGTCCGTTGTCCCTCCTGCGCACCGGGCCGTCCGGGTTTCCCGGCACCATTTCCTGAGGGGCTGTTCTGAGGACAGGAGCGGGGGGTGTCCGTCCCTGAGACAGAGAAGCGTCTCTTCGGAAAACAGAAGCTGTCGAAGTAGCTGCGGACAGTCACGAAATATTTATAAAAGCGTCTTTCCCAGGTAAGGCGTTCACGCAGTCGCTGGGTGTGCGTGTGAGGGCCACAGGCACCCCTCCCGCGCGCTCAGGGGCGTCTCGCCGCACTGTGTCTCTGAGCTCGGGCCTCGCCTGGGGCACCGATGGTGGTGGTCGCTTTCCACGGCCGTGTGACGGCTCACCGCGGACTCGGTGGCCCAAAGCAGTCCCGTCGCGCAGCTTGGCAGCTCAGGAGGCCGAGTCCGCTCGGGCACAGCCCCCACCCGGGCTGTCGCCTGCACAGGTGGCCCGAGGGTGCCAGGCAGGGAGGAAGGGGGCGCATCTCTTCCTTCAGGGACGTGCCCGCCCCACTCCCAGTCACAGCCTCGTTGTGAGGGGTGGTGGGTACGGGGACAGTGTTCACCCCGCCCTGGCAGTGCGGGCCGCACAGGGAGGAGCCGGCACCGTGTGGCCTCCACACGGGCCCCCCGGGGGCGGGGGCAGGGCCCGGAGCGCGTCCTAAATCCCCACGCCGCTGTGACCTCGGGAGCATCTCTGTTCTGTCCGTGTGTGTTCCTCAATGTGTCGTGCGGCGCCCGCTCGTGCAGCTTGCAGATGTGTGGCGAGGACTGTACTTTGCACGGCGCCTTCTGGGGGGTTAGAAGCCTGACGGCGTAGTGAGCGTCTTAGTTAAAACCTGAGGCTTCGGCGTACTTTCTCGAGTCCGAGTGCTGGTCCAGCAGGCGCTGGCAGACCGCGGGTCCCTGCACGTACGTCAGGGTCGTCCGTTTGAGGACACTGAACGTGTTTAGGTCCTAACAGTCGCTCGGGCCGTTTCCGGAGCTCGGGCCTTTGCCGCAGCAGGCGCCACCAGGAGCACGTGCGCTCCGGCGTTTGCCCTTGGCCCCGCACCCCCACCCCCGCTCGCGGTGGGAATGCCCAGCAGGTGTCTGCAGCTCGTAGGGACAGAAGAACAGCACTTACAGACAAGGGGTTTTCCAGCGAAGGGCGTTCAGGCAGGAACACCCGCGTGGCCTTTCTCAGCTGCACCGTTGTCCCCGGGAAGGACCACGGCACAGGGCGCCGGCCCGCCGTGTCCCCTGCTGCAGACGACCGGGTGCTGCCAGCGGGCCCAGCGGTGTGGAGGGGCAGCCCTGCTCCACCGCCGTCCTGCCGCCACGTGGCCGGGCCGTGCTCCCTGCTGCCACGGGGACGCATCCCAGCGGCCGCCCACGTGGACAGAACGGCTAGTGTCTGGCCTGGCCCCCCAAGGCCTCTCCCCTGGTGTGGCACCCTCCCCTGGTGTGGCACCCTCTGGCACCAGTCCTGTGGGGTGGGGCCACCCCATGTTCCTTTCTCACTGATCACCATCTTCAAGGCCCCTTCTCCAAACGCGGTTACCTCGTGAGGTGCCGGGGTGGGGCCTCAGCGCAAGAGTGTGGAGGGTCCCGGTCCAGCCCCTGGCGCGCTATAACACGTGGAAAAGAGTTACCGCCGTGAGTGGCGTGGCCCGGTGGGGGAGTGGCGAGGGAGGACACCCGCAGACTCCGGCTGTGCGGGCTCTGCGTCCTCGCCCGCACTGTCCGCGGCCCGGGGCTGACCCGTCCCCGGCGCTGTGCTGCTGTCTCCACAGGCCTGGCAGCTGCGCTTCAGCCACCTCGTGGGCTACGGGGCCAAGTACTACTCCTACCTGATGTCCAGGGCCGTCGCCTCCATGGTCTGGAAGGAGTGCTTCCTGCAGGACCCTTTCGACAGGTAAGGAGGGGGCAGGGCCGGAGACGCTCCCTTCCTCGCCCCCACCCTCCACCAGCGTCCAGCCCTGCGGAACCCAGCGGAACCCAGCCCAGGCCCACGGGCACGCAGGGCTCCGGGGGCATTCCGTCACCGGGCCTGGGCCTCCCAGGCCCTTCCCTCGGGCCCGAGCCCTCTCCTGCTCCCAGAGCCTTCCGCCCCACCGCACAGTCCGTCCCGCTGCACAGCCCTGAGTGGCGGCCACCTGCGGGTGGTGGCCTGGCGCCCTGTCCCCGCGCCCGCAGGGACCTGCTGTGTGAGCGCTCGGAGCTCCCGCCCCAGGGGCCGCATGGACACATCCACCCGCTCCCTGCAGGTCTGCTCTGGTCCAGCACCCCCCTCACCCCCCGCCCCGTGGTCAGTGCCCGCTGCTCTCGGCACCCCGTCGCTGGGACGGGCGTCCTCGCTTCCACACGCTCACCCCAGTCCCGTCTCCTCTGTTGCCTGAGGGGGACTTGGCACCCTCTCCAGCTGGGGGCAGCGCCGCTGGAACCTCGGGGGATGGCCCTTAGCACCCCGCTCGTGCCGGAAAGCCCGCCCTCCGCCCGTTTTTGAAAGACAGTGCAGTCCCAGGCGGGGCTGCTCCACCTGCCGCCCCGTCCCAGCGTCCTCATGGGACACTCCGGGGTGCGGAGGACATGGCCCAGGGCTCTGGGTGGGATCGGGCAGACCCCAGCCCCATGCGGAGCGCAGGCCTCACTCAGGTCAGCCAGCGCAGGTGGCGAGCTTCCGTGAGCCCATGGGGAGAGGTCACCTGGGGACAAGGGTGCCCACGCCTGCCCCCACGACAGAGGCAGGACGGGGCGCTGGGGGCGGGGGCGCGGGCCTGAGCGGGTGGGGAACACGGGAGCGCCTGCTGCTCCCGGGCCAGGCGGCCTCCTGCCTCGGGGCGGGAAGCTGGGGGCCCCTGCTGGCTTCCGAGCCCTGGGAAGGAGCTTCCTCTGAAAGCAAACCGCTCACTGTGCTCTCGTCCGATGGGCAGTGCAAGCGTTTTGTCCCCTCACCACACAGACCATCTCCAGCAATTGGGCCACCACCGTGGGGGGGCGGTGCTGTCCCAGGACCACCTTCCCATGGTCCTGAAAGTCAGGGTTTTCAGACTGTGCCTGTCCCCTTAACGGTGCCCAGGGCCCTCGCGCTTCCCCGTGGCCCGCCGTCTCCCACCCAGCGGCTGTGGCTGAGCGGGGCGTTTTCTCCGAGGGGCCGGGGCCGGGGAGGGCCGGGGACTGGCCGGAGGCTCCGTGGTCCCCAGGGCGGGCGGAGTGAGCCGAGAGTCCCGTCTGCTGGTTCCGAGTCTCTCCTGCCGCGCCCCCCTGCACCACCCCCCCCCCCCCGGCCTTCCCTGCAGCCTGACACAGGCTTGGGCTTCCTCGGTGGCTAGTGATTGCCTCCAGTCCCTGGTCTTTTGAACTTGGATCTGATGTAATAGAATTTTTAAATGTTTTACAGCTTGGTGCCCACATGCTATTTTGTCTTCAGCCCTCTGCATGAGCAGGCATTTGGTCTGCTTTTCAGATTTTATTATTTTCACAGGACTTAGAGCCAAAACTGACTACAGTTTGCGGGATTACATTTTTTTACTGGAGGTTTTTATAAAATGGACAAAATATCTTGTTTAAAGGAACTACACTTTACTAGAAAACCACATACTATTAAATACACATATTTCCAAGTATTTATATCTTGTTTATATACGCATTCTTGCCCAGACATGCACCGGCCAGAGTTTTACAGACACATAAAAAGGGAGCTCAGGAAAAGGCTCGCCGACTTAGAACGGCTCTAACCCCCGTCAGCAGGCCCGTTTGGGCCCCACTTTGAAAGAGCCCAGGCTGGAAGCTGGCATCGGGGGCCAGGCAGCCCCGAGCTGAGCGGGCGGAGAACTGTGATGTGACTCAGGCTGGCGGCGCGGCTGGGAGGGGGGCCACACCCCCGCCGGTGTCAGGCCGGGCCTCCCCGCTGCCTGTCCCCTGAGGAACCCCGGCCCTCGTCCACGTCTCCTGCTGCAGGACACGTCTGCCAGAGCGCTCGCTGCCCGGTGCAGCCGGGCCGGCTCTGAGAGATGAGCCCGTGTCCGGTGGGCCCCGCTGCCAGAGTCCTGGTTAGAGGTCACGCTCCCAAAACCGCCCGTGTGTAGAACTCCGGGTGGCGATGGCATCGGAATTTGTGTCGTCACAGGCCACGGTCATGTGCTGTAAGAGAATTGCATCTTTCATAAAATAGCAGAGCCGCACCACGTAGTCTGTCTCCAGGTGCCGCCGATTTGCAGAATTTCTGTCTGTAGACCTTCTCCGATGCCTGCCTCCCCGAGGCACAGACTGTGTCCCCCACGGACCCCCGCCGGCCGGGAGTGTCTGCAGATGAAACGGCTGCTCCGGCCCCGGCCGCTGCCGCCCGCCCCCTCCGGAGCCAGGTTCCCGTTCCCCTGGGCACCCCCGCAGCCCAGGTCTCCCAGGGAGTGCACTCCCCCTGCCGGCTTCTCCGCTTCGCTCTCACTTCAGAATGTCAGTTACTCTTCTCCGCGGCAGGTGCCCTCTCCGTCCTTCTGTGAAAGTCCGGCTGGCACAGGCCGTTTCAGACCCCATGGTAAACCACCCCAGAGGCAGTGGTGGGGGCGCAGTGGGGCCCTGCGCAGCCCGCCACATGTGAACGAAGTGATCCTCTGCGCAAAGGGATTGCTCGCTGCGTGCAGACCAGCCAGACAGATTGGCAGCTTTTTACGGTGAACATGGGGTTTTGCTCATTAGAATAATTTAAAAATTGGAGTTAGATTTTTAGAAGCAAGAAAGTAAAGAGCTGAATGGTCTGCGGTGGCAGCTTCCCAGACTGTGACATCAGTGTGACTTCTTTTGAGAAACCCCGGCTGGTGTGAGTGGGGCCCAGCAGGATCCCCCCCCCCCACTCATGCAGGCAGGGCCCCCAACGGCCTCTTGTCTCTGCAGGGCCACCGGGGAGCGCTACCGGCGGGAGATGCTGGCGCACGGCGGGGGCCGGGAGCCCATGCTCCTGGTGCAAGGTAAGCCAGGCGGGGCCGGGCCTGTCCGAAGGGTCTGTGGGTCGTGTGTTGGCGTACGGGCAGGGCAAGTGTGCGCCCACCACGAAGCTCTTTCACGTTGCCTGTGCACATTGTTTCATGTACAGAGGTGATGTTTCACCTCTGCTCGTTCTCCGAGAATCTGTTTCATTGTATCCCCAGTAGCAGTTTTATTGTATCTCTGTCCTAATGCTCATTTCCATTTCATCTCGCCCCAAGTAACATTGACGTTTAGTGACCGTGTTTTGTTTAGATGCCAGGATGCTGTTTCACGCTTTAGCTTTCAAAACCTTACTAGCACTCTAACAGGAAATGGTTAAATTCGTCACAAATCTGTATATTTGTCATCCGTTCTCAGAAAATCTGTCCTTAGATTTTAATAGATCGCAGTGTATTTCCTTAGGTACCAGAATTCTCTTATTTCCTACTCCCTTGTTTCTGACCGAAAGTTCAGCTCCACACTGGCTAGATATTTAGGGCATCGGGCTGGACTTTTTACACATGGAAGACTCAGAACCTAATGAGCTGTTCCGTGGGCATCTCCGAGCTTGTTTACCCGTGTGATTGTTTTTGGTACTCTCTCAAGTCCACGTGTCCTCGCTGAAAGTGTGGCTGTACGTGGAAGTGACCGTCACACCTTTCTGTGTGGCGTTCTCACGAGCCTTCCGAGCAGGGAGGCGCGAGCGCTTGCGGACCGTCTGGTGTCGGACGGGAGCGGCTCCCGGGAGCTGGCTGCCGGCTCAGGGGACGTCGTCCTTTCTCTCACCGCTGAGCGGTCCCGAGAGGGACGGTCCTGGCGTCCGTGTTCTCCGGCCCAGATGTCTCTGGTGGGACGCCCGGACCCTCTCCCTCGGCCGCGCGTTTACGCAACAGGACAGCAGGCGTGTGCCGAGCGCTGACTGCGCGCCGGGTCACACTGTGCGGGAGGCGCAGTGGAGACAGACCGGCGAGACGGGGACCCAGCTCCGGCGGACTCCTGCGCGGCCAGCGCCACGCAGGTTTCTCCAAGGGCCCGGCCAGCCCAGGGTCCCATGTCTGCGGTCGCGCGGCGCGGCTGTGCTGGGCCGCTCACACTTCGGTTTCCCGCCAGCGGGCTGGCCCGGGAGCCGGCCCTCGAGGCAGAGAAGGCAGGTGACGGCCCCCCTTGGCCCCTGGTCCCTTCCTGAACGCCGCCCGGCCGGCCCAGGAACTGTCTCGGACGGCCTCGCGCACTGATGCACCGTCCGGCAGCCGTGAGGCGGGAAGCGCCCCTGCCCCGGTTCACGGCGGACAGGCCGGCGGCTCTGCCCCGGTCCTGAGGCTGTGAGTAGGGACCCGGGTGCGGCCTGGGCCTCCCGGCGGCCAGACGGGCCGGCCCTCTGTCGTCTCTGCGGCTCCCCCTGCGTGTGGGGCAGAGTGCCCGCGAGGCTCCCTTATGGGATGGGCTCTCGTGGACGGGAACCTCCGGGCTCTCGATGGAGAGCCACAGGCGGGGAACCGCGTGCCTGTGAGCCGGAGCCTCGGTGCCGGGCGCCGGGCGGACAGCCGTCGGCGAGCGTCCGCGCCGCCCCCCACCAGGGAGACTGGCCGTCGGGGCCGCGCTCCCCGCAGCGGTGCTCCCCGGGCCGCCGCGCCGGGCCCGGACGCGCTCCGGGTGCAGGGGTCCGCGTGCGCATGCGTCCCGCGGAAGGAAACCATGGCATCTTTTCAGCACGTGCCTTTTGGTTGGTGTGTTTTTCTACTCTAAGAGTGTTGTGGAAAAAAAAAAAAATCTCTCTAAAAATTTTGATGTTTGTGTGAAACCTTTTCATGTTAAGAAACTTAATATTTTCAAACCTGAGGCTCGCACACGAGAGAGGGAGAGCAGGGCGCGGTTCAGAGACGGGGAAGCGTCCGAGTCCCGTTCACACCGGCAGGGGCGGCTCCGCGCGAAACGCACGGGATGCGCCCGTGTCGGACACGGGTGGGGGCCGCCTCTTCCAGCCCCCACTCCCGAGACGGCGCGACTCCGTCCGAGTCCACGCCCTTGCTGTGCTGGCCGTCCTCCGACTGCCACGGCTGACCCCGGTCTGCAAGCCCCGACCTGAGGGTGCCCGGGCCTTCGGAGCCCAGAAGGTGTAAGCGACACGAGCTTGAGGTCCCCGTGCCCCCCAGGTCTGCAGTCTGCCCCCCTCGGCCCGGGAGAGGCCGCCTGCCCTCTGCTGACCCTCGGCGACCTCACCCCTGCGCCGTGTTCCCGGGAGCGCTCCGAGGCTCCTGTGGCTAAGCGGCCGGCGCCCTCCACGTCCCCGTCTGTCCTGGTGGTTCTGACGGAAGGGTGCCTGTCACCGCGGGAGGAGTGGGGTGCGCGGCAGGTCTCGCGTCCCTGACGCTTTCCCGCGCCCCTCGGCCCCACACAGCGACTGTGGGGGGGAGAGGGGTGGTGACGGTCCCGATGTTAGTGTTCCAGAGGTGACCTGCAGGTACCGAACAGCTTCACTCCTCTGCTCCTTCCCGGAGAAGGAGGAGCTCTCGGCTTCACTTTCGCGTCTCTAACCGAAAGCGGTGTGCGGACAGAGGCGCGAAGCAGCGGCTGGCTGGAATTCAGACAGGAGCGGCGTCAGGTGCGAGGAGCAGGTGAGCGAGTCGGGGCGCTTGCCCCCGAGAGCCGGTCGGGGCCGCCACACCGCACCCCTCGGCCGAGCCTTCTGGCGTCAGGCACACGGGTCTCGCAAGCTCGCCCTGTCTCGCGTCGCAGCCCGTCTCTCCCGGCTCCCCACGCGTTGCTTCTGTCCTGGAAGGAAACCGGGGAGTTGTGGTGTGCGTTCCAGAAGGTCCCCAAGGCGAGTGATACAGTCTACAACTACTCCTCTGTTTTTCTTAATCCTCACCTGAGGACATTGTTCTCGTTGCTTTGAGGGAGAGCGAAGCATCGGTGTGAGACAGATACTGTGAGATGATACTCTTTCAGCTCTTCTGACTGCTTGATGAAAACACCGTAAAATCTTTTAAAATGCGCCCTTAGCACGTGGTTGCAGGTGTGGGCTGCGGGTGCTGGGCTGCAGACGGGCTAGAAGAGCCAGTAGGTCCTCCGGGGCTCCTGGTCAGTGTGCTTAGCTCCACCCCCGAGGCTTCAGGGGCAGGGGGGCAGGGGGCGGGACCGATGAGTTCCGTTCCAGAACTGCACCCGTGGGAGTCAGGCGATGACGGTGGTCCGCTGTAGAGGTCGTCGAGAGCGAGAGCCGCTCTCGGTGGAAGAACTGCACTGGGCTGAAGATGTCGGGGTGCTGGCTCTGGCTGGAAACGCTGCCAGGGAGCGTGGAGACAGGGAAGTTTCTCTTGCGTCGACTGGACCATTTCCCAGAAGATAACGTGACAAGATTCCTTCTCTGTTTATTTGAGTCTTTTCAGCTCCAGAGGAAACTTTTCCTTTTGACTAATGTGTAACTTTGCTAATAATGAAACTAGATTTAGATCATGCCTAAACCTAATTTTCTTTTATACTTAACAGTTTATCTTTACATTAAAGTTTTTAGTAGAGTAATTCCTCCTTTATCTCCGAGTTTGCGTATCTCAGATATGTGAAGGACACCGGCACGTTCTTTTCCTGCCCCATCACAGCCTTTGCGGGGTGTCAAGCAACACGTGTTTGGTTTTTTCATCTCTTACAGTGCTGAATGTATGTCTAGGTTGATTAAGCTGTAGGATTGGGGGGGATTGCTAAACTCATTTACATTTTTCCTAAAAGCAGTTTAAACAAAACAGAGTTTTTAAAAATTCTTCAAATCTTAAACTACACACTCACAGTCGCTGAACTGCCCGCGCCACGTCCACCAGCTCCTTTTCCGTGCGCAGGCCCTGCTCACTCCAGGGTTCGGGTCTTACTAAAACTGCTGCAGCCTGTGCACCGGTTTTTCTAAGGGAACTAACACTTGGTTGGATAGTAACCGGTAAGACTGATGTCTACTGCTTTTACTTATTTATTTTTATTTTTTTAAGATTTTATTTTTAGAGAGGGGGGAAGAGAGGGAAAAGGAGAGGGACAGAAACATCAGTGTGTGGTTGCCTCTCGAGCGCCCCCTACTGGGGACCTGGCCCGCAACCCAGACATGTGCCCTGACTGGGAATTGAACCGGTAACCCTTTGATCCACAGGCTGGCACTCAGTCCGCTGAGCCACACCAGCCGAGGCTCATTTCTGCAACTCTTACATGTGCCACATTGAACAGGCAGGAGACAACAACAATAGCAGCCGCAATCACGAGAACGCTAACAGTGACCCCGCTAAGACCTGCGAGGAGTGCTCTGGGCGGCCGGACAGGTGCTGGCACCATGCACGCCTCACCTCGCTGCATGCTCTCAGCGGGCTGGGGGGCTCCATTTGGTCGTTGCCCCTGAGGTCCCACAGCAGCAAGAGGTAGAACAGAACCCCAGCGCAGGCGCTCCTGCGGGTCTGTTGGGACTGGCGGGCAGCCTCGCCCTCGGTCAGGGGTTGCCGGGCCCCTTCACTTTGGAAGTCGTCGTGTGCATGTTCCACCGCGTGCCCCCCCTTCGCTCTCGAGCAGTTTTCCGTGACTGAGGTGCCTTGTCTAGATCACACCGAAGCCCCGAGAAGACGGTTTTGAGTTCACGGAGCAAGACGTCATGGGGACAGGTCCCAAGTGGGCCGCATGCACACCAGAACCAACCAGGCGTCCACGGCACCGACGTGTCTCTGCAGCCGAGTGCGCTCGTTGAGTGAGTGCGGGAGCACCGAGCCGGCCGTCGGTCTCCGTGACGCCCGTGGGCAGAGCCCGGCCTTTCCCGCACGGCGTGACTGGGGTGCGTGAGGGAAGCCCTCCTCGGGGTCGGGCCTGGCGTTCAGGGGCTCGTGGGTCACGGCGCAGCTTCTGTCGCCGAGGAGGATGGCGGCTCACCAGAGCCTGCGGGGCTGTGTGCTCAGCGCAGCCTCTGACGGGGCCCAGAGCTCCCCGGGAGGCGGGAATGGAGGAGAGCACCTGCGTCCTCCGGGCTGGGGCCGCCCTT